AGCCTGCGGGGGATCGTCAAGCACCTGGAAGGTGAGGCCCGCCGCCCCGGGGCGCGGCCACGCGCTCCCTGCGGCCGGCCAGCCCCCAGCTCCGCATTCCAGCACAGCGCCCGGAGTGGCGCTTTCGGACTGTGAATCAAACACGGAGGATTGAGAAATCATTTAAAAAAAACAGCTTTGTGTAAGTCCCTACCTGTGTGTGCTGGGACACTGTAAGAGGAGTTTCCTTTGGAGACTGTGGGTGACAGCGTCCAGCACCACTGACCCCGGGCCCAGGCCCTGCTCAGGGGCTGAGGGGCCCACGGCTGGCCTGGCTTCCCAAACACAAGCCCCAGGTGAGAGGAGGGGTGCCCCGGGGGGGGGCCTCTTGTCCAAGGACACCCACCTGTGAGAAGGCAGGGCCACCCAGCTCTAAGTCCCAGTCTGAGTGACCCTCGGCAGGGCTCAGCTCACGCCCACTGCAGGCACAGGTAAGACCACCAAAAGAAGGATGCAGGGTGTGGGAACCCCTGGGGACCCCAGGTTGCGAGCTGGGCTTCTCTTTAGGGGGGCAACCCCTTCCAGCACGACGGCCTGGCTGGCCCCAGTCCGCCTTCCCCAGGATGCTGCGTCCGGCAGACGCCTCACAGCCGGCGCTGAGTCTAGCAGGTGCAAAGTCGATCATCCAGCCCCGTCCTGGGGGCTGGCCTAGGAGGAAAGGATGCCCCGAGGCGAGGCAGAGGGACTGGGGCCTCCCACTTACGCATTTCCCTTGAGCCCTCCTTGCACCAAGGGGGTGGGGTGGCAGGACAGCAAAGGTCGAGCTGCTATTCCAGGCCAGGGGCTGCGGGAGGCTGGCAGGGTAGGGTTTCCACGAGAGACTGCCTCCCACCTGGCAGGGCCTCCCGTCCACCTCGGCCACCAGCAGCCCCTCTCACGGTCCCTACCCCTCTCCCTTCCTCAGAAGTACCCCTGCTCCTCTGCTTAGGGTGCCTAGAAGTTAGAACTCTCTAGGAACCAAATGGTTAATGTCCCTTCTGAACCCAAGTATCCACCAGTCTGGCTGGAGTTCACGTCGGGCCGCGAGGACCAATGGCGTCGCCCCAGGGTGGAGCGGGGTTCCTCCGTTTACCACAGCTATTTCTGTCGCTTGCTGTCTCAGGTCTGCCCTGACCTTCTCGAGCCACGCTTCTGCGGCCTTGCCGTCAGGGACGGGAGGGCTGAGCCCGGCTGACGGCTCTGTGGCCCGCAAAGGTCACGGAGCCCGCGGGACGCAGGAGCAGGCGGCTGCCTAGCGCACAGGCTGGGAGGGGCTGAGGACCCTGTTCCCCCAGGGATGTCGGACCAGGCCATCATGGAGCTGAACCTGCCCACCGGCATCCCCATCGTGTACGAGCTGGACCAGGCGCTGAAGCCCACCAAGCCCATGCGGTTCCTGGGCGACGAGGAGACCGTGCGCAAGGCCATGGAGGCTGTGGCCGCCCAGGGCAAGGCCAAGTGAGGGGTGGGCTCTGCCAATAAAGGTACCTCCTCCCGCTGCCTCAAGTTCACTGTGGCCCCGGACGCCCGGCACGCGGGCTGCCGGAAGCCCACCCCCAGCACCGGCTCGCACTACAAACACGACCCCCGGCCCCTGCTGCCCGCCCAGCCTGCCTCAGTGGGCGGCGTGACCCTGGGACCACGGGCAAGAGCCTGTCCCCATCCCCGGCTGTCACGTACTCCCTGCCAAGCCCCTAGGGTGACCCCCTAAGCTGGAGAGCGTCGTGGTGACCCTGCTCTGTATCAGTGCCCGGGGCTACTCAGGGAGGGTCCTAGTGACCCAGTCCTCCCTGCGGTCAGCGAGCACTGCAGCCAGGCCACCGCTCCCTTCAGACTGCCTGCCGTCCTGTCCCTGCAGCCCCAGGGTGGGAAGGGCGAGGTGTAGGTACGCTGAGCCCCGCCTCCTGGGTGTCCCCTCGTCCGGTGACAGAGAAGCAAGCAAACCCGATTCATGGGGCATGCACACCTGGGGCGGGCCCTGTCGCCTGTCTTGAAAATCAGGACATGGCGAGGCCTGCCCGCAGCAGACAGGGAGTGCCACCTGTAACCAGGTGGGACTGGCCACCACCTGGGGCCGGCAGCCTCCTCAGTACTGCCTTTGACCCAAGCCACTCCCACCTAGCACCTTCCGGAACACGAGAGGGGCTGTAAGTCCCCAGACGCTCCGTGGGTGCCAGGTGCCTCACTGCGTGCACACTCTCATGGCAGGGATCAGGGTGGTCCTCGGCCCCTCCCAGGGAACTGAAATGAAGGAGGCGGACTTCCGGCACATCTTCACCTTTATGCCTCTTCCAGGCGGCTAACGGTTGGTCAAAGGTCTGAGGGCATACGTCACCCACACCCGCCAAAGACACCCAGAAAGGGGCTTGTTCCCAAAGGGGGCACTCAGGCCACAACAGGCTAGATCAGAACGAGGGCCTGTGTGGGGCAATTCTTACTCCAGAAGCAGACACGAGTGGGCTGGGGCAGAGAGAAGGGACGACAAAAGGAAGAGGCCACTGTGGTCACTTTTCCTGAACCGGACCAACTGAGCAGCACCCAGCAGGCCCAGCAGACAGGAGGGAGCCGCGTGCAAGTCCCCGCCGCGTCTGTGGGCGTTCTGCCTCCTTCCGCCACGTGTTCAGACGGGGACTCCGTCGTCCGTCTCCACTGCCCCCGGCCCAGGCAGAGGGACAGAGAAACGAGGAGCACAGAGCAGGATCCAGAGAGAGTAACGACTGCGTCCCAAATTGTCACGACCCACTCCGACTTTGGTCATAAACTCTGAAGTTCACTGTCCCCAAGGGTCGCTAACAGCCACCACCCCTTAGAGACAGGAGGAAAAGGAGAAAAGGGCCAATGCAGAAGGAGGGAGGCCTCCAGACGCCCCTGCAGACCGCCCAGCTCAGCAGAGCCGCGCACCTGGAGCGGAGGTCACTGAGAGGCTGGCCCCGGACAGGGCGCGGCCAGTGTCCTCTGTTGGGGGGCGAGGGCCAGGCTGGTCGGGAGGGCTCGGGAAACCGCTGGGAGCACGCCGGGAGGCCACCAGGTATTGCTGCGTTTGGGGTAACAGAGGCGAAGTCCCCCAGGCCAGAGGGAGCCCAGGGGCATGTCCTCGTCAGGGGGTCCCACTCCCGGAAAAGCGCTGCTTACAACCCTCACGCCACCGCTTCCAGCAGCGAGGAAACCACGTCCGGGGGGGCGCGGGCGAGGCCGGCGCGCAGCTGCAGCCGCCCTCGGGGGGCCTCACTCAATGAGCTCCACGTAGTTAGCAGGGAACATGCCAAAGTGGCCGTCGGGCCCATAGCCACGCCACCAGCCTTCGTCGATCACCTCGATGCCCGTGATCAGGTTCTCAGGGTCAAAGGAGATCTCGGTCTCGTCGGCTGCGGGAAGGCGAGCCCAGACGCTGTGCTGGCGGCCCTGGGCGCCGGCCCCCAGTCTGCCCTCGTGCAGCTCCTGTGCCCCTTCCCCTAGGACACCCCTTCCTACAGCGGCAGGTTCTGGGCCCACCGCTCCAGCGAGAGGCTGGAATGTGGTGCTTCCACACGCCAGCCTGCTCCCCAAGGACTCCACCCAGGGTCAGCAGGGTGCCCGCAGCCAGGCCTGGCCCATCCCTCTGGTCACTAGAGCAAGGGGGCAACCGGGTGCACACCAGGGAACAGCCAGCAGCTTCCCAGAGCGCGCAGGGCGGCCTGGGCTGTGCAGGGCGTCCACCCACTCTCCCTGCTCACCCCCACCCCCGTCTTCACTTCCGATGCCCCGTGGGGCTGTGCCCCCGAGGGAGCCCCCACATCCTGCCTCCTGCTCCTGGGCCCTGTGGTCCGAGGGGGCTAGCCTACGGCACATTACCTGCCTGGTAGTCATACAGGGCCCGGGCACAGAGCCCTTTCCCACTCAGCCCCGGGTAGTGGTCAACGTGCTCGGAGCTGCCATCTTGCTGCTGCACCTGCCCGTGGATGGGAAAGCACAAGAGAAGTCTGGGGTCCTTGTTACCCCGGATTCAGCCCTGCCCGTGGCCAGGGCTCATGGCAGACTTGGGGGAAGGGGCCCGGCACACGGAGGGCAGGAGCTACCTCAAAACCGAGCAGGGTAATTCACAGGCAGTGAGCCATGGAAGAGCCAGGCACCCCACGATCGGCGTGGCCAGGGAGCGCGCTCCCGGGCACGGGGCCCCTTCTGTCCCGCCCTGCCGCAGGGAACCCACCACTGGAGGCTCCTCGTAGAGGGTCTCCTGCTCTGGGGGCTCCTCGTACACGGCCTCTGCTTCCACCTGCGCCGGACACGGCGGGGCGCTGGGCACTGGCTCCTCACGGGGATCTGCACAGGAGGAAGCAGCCCACTGAGCCTGGGGAGGAGGACGGACATCCCGTGTCCCCCTCGCGCCCCCAACCCCATCCTGGGGCAGCTGGGCGCCTTGCCTGCCCGGGGCCTTGAAGGGGCGTGGGCCGCCTCTCTGCTGAGAGGGGTCTCCGGCTGGGTGAGCTGCCTCTGCAGGAAGGGGCTCCTCAGCTTGCCTGCAAACCAGTGAGAAACATGTAAGGCCTCACGTAGCTGCCAAGAGGGAGAACCAAGCGGTCTCTGCCTTTTCCACGTGCTGTACTGCCCGGAGGGCAGACCTGTTCTGGGACAGCGGCTGTCACACAGGGAATGAATGGCGACATGGAGCAGCTGCGGGAACACCACGCCACAAACACACACCGTACACTCCAGCAGCCCCGGGGGGTCACGCCGTGCAGTGTTAAAGTGCAGACCAGCACTGCAATCCAATCTCTTTCTGGGGACCAGAGAGGTGACAGACGCAGGTCCCTGGGACTCAGCTAACAGCCAACGTTTGAGATGTACCAGAGGTTCACAGGGAACCCACTCTGGGGCCACACGTGGCCCCTCCTGTCCCACCTCCAAGAAGAGGTCAAGAGCAGGAAGGGGACATTTGGGTCCCCGGCTCCCCTCCTGGAAGTTCCCCTTATTCGCCCATCCCTGTCACCTCTGATACAGCTGTCACCAACTCGGGAGGCCCTGCACTGGGACTGCAGGCTCGCCTTCAGCCTCCCCCGCCTCACAGCTGGGCCCAGAGGGAAGCCTCACCTGGCTGGGGGCTGGAGATAGATGTGGTGGACATGGCCCTCTCCTTCTGCTTGAAAATTTCCCGGGGGTGTGGTGGCTGCTGGCAGACAGGCTCCTGGCGGGGCGCACACGGACCCCGCAATGAGTGAGGACCCGGGGCCCCTCGGCCCACCTGGCTCCCTGCAGCCGAGCCCGGAAGCCAAACATTGAAGCTGAAGGGCCCACAGGCCTCGCCCAGGACCCGGCGTCGGGCCAGGCAGGGCCCCGGCAGTAAGCCCCTCCCGCAGGCCTGCTGGGCGGGGCGTGCGCATGAGCAGGAACACACGTGGCCACCAGGGCTGACGACAGGCAGCCCGCGCACCTGTCCGGGACCCGCCCCCGGGGGGGGCAGGGACACGCATCCGAGCCTCACCTGCCCCCTCTCGGCTCCTGGAAGCCACCTCGTGCTGCTCACTCTTCCTGCGGGGAGGGGCAGAGGGGGGAGCTGCAGCCGGCCTCCGCCCGGCCTGCCTCCAGGGGGCACTCTGGAGGGCGCGGGAAGTCGGGGAGGGAAGGCCGGCGCCAGGCGGCAGCCCCCCCCTCACCTCTGCGGGCCGGCCTGCTCCTGATAGCGCTGCTCGCGGAGAGCGGCCTCCCGCAGCTCCCGCTCCCGCCGCTCCTGCTCCAGCCGCTGCCGCTCCTCCTCCGCCCGCCGCTTCTCCTCCAGCCGCCGGTTCTCCTCCTCCTTCTGCAGGGACAGCCGGCCCGGCCCGCCCCACTCAGCCCCTGGCACAGACCGCGGGCGGGCTTCGCGGGCCTGCCTTCTGTCCCCGTCCCCCCCAGGCAGCCCGCAGGGGCCGTGGGCTCCAGAGCGACACCCACAGGCCTTGTTACGTTAACACCTCTGAGCCTCACTCTGACCCTCCGTAAATGGGCGCTGACAGGCACCTTTGTTCTACGGGCTAATTGTAAGGAAAACTGAGATACAGCGAGCGAAATATTTCATGTCTGGTGCGTCACAACGCTCCACAAACGCCAGCTCTCATAGCCGTCCTGCCCTGGGCAGCACTCACCTCGGCTTTGGCCCAGAAGCTGTCTTTGCCGACCCTTTTGATCTCAGACATGGCGTTAGTTTTCTGGTACACGGAGCCCTGCGGGGGGACAGAGGGTTCGCTGCGGGGCGGCGGGCAGAGGCGCAGAGCACAGGTGAGAACTGTCAGGCTGACAGCCAGCAGGTGGAGCAGCGCCTGGCCTGCTGACCCTTAAGGAGACTGGCACCAAGATGGCCTGAAAGGCCCTGGACACTGCCCAGCGGGGAGGCTCAACCCCAGACAACACTGGCGGAGGCTCTGGCGGCAGCAGGCCCTGGGGGACGGAATCCAAGGCGGGAAAGGCCCCTTGGGCTGCCTGAGATTCCCGGAGGCTGGCGGTTCCGAGGCCGTCCTTAGGTGGACGGCCCACCAGCCGCCGGCGGCTGACCGCCATGGCAGAGCCCCCTAGGGCCCCAGCTGTGCGCCAGGGGACTCGGCTCCCCAGCCAGCTCCAGGCACAGGCCGGCAGGTGTCTGCCCGCAACTTGGAGGGGCCTGACCGGTCTGTCCACCACCTGAAGTTTCTCCAAAGTGGCCACCACCCAGGGCCGCACCGACCATGTTGGTGCCGTGGCCTTGAGGCGGGGTGGCATCTCCCTGCAGAGAAACTGTGATCACGCAGACCAAGCGTCAGAGCTTCCGGACAGCCGGCGGGGGGAGCCACCAGGCACAGTCAGGGGCTGCTCCTCGTGCCCATTCGGGCCGCCCCCCCAGGACGCAGCTTCTGCTCCCGTCAGGCATGGGGCAACCACCTGCACCTCGATCCAGGACAGCGGGGAGCCCAGCCCCTCGAGGGATAAAGCACAGAGGGCAGGTCCAGTCAGTCTGGAAGCCAGGAACTTCAGTCCTGCCTGGCCGCCCCGGGCCCAAGGAGCACTCACCACTGGGGCCTGGGGGCCTGCGTCCTGGAAGCGGCCGCTCTCCTTGTGGAAGGCGTAGTTGGCACCCGAGGCCCTGGCCACCTTCTGCATGATGCACTCGGGCTCCACGTCCTCCTCGGCCCTGGCGTTGATGGTCACATGGGCCCCCTACGGCAGGAGCAGCAGGTCACGAAGGCAAGGCACCGCGACCCCAGGAGGGGACAGGCGCTCACAGGGTGCGGGCAGGAGGCCCTGCCGGGAACCAAGGCATGCTCTTCTCGAGCCCTCAGATGTTCATCCTTGCCCCAGCTTGTACGTGAGGCCCGTGCCAGCCACCATGTGGCCTGTGGCCTGTTCCTGGTGCTACAGACAACGCAGGCAGGGCAGTGCTTCATTCTAGTCAACGAAAACTAAACCTGAAAAAACACCTGGAAACAAGCTCTGTTTGTACAAAATGCACGTTACTGATTTCTTCATGAGAAGTCAGACCCACGACCTCAGTTACTCAGTAAGTCTGGGGCCCTCTCTTTCAGCTCCAGGATGGGGAAACTGAGGCACACCTGGATTACTGGAAAACAAAGTCCTGAGTCTCCTCGCCAGTAGTCAGAGGAATGAAAAAAGCAAGCTGGCAAGCGAGGAACAAATGCTGTTGGATACAAAATGCTTCTGAAACCAAGCCAGGTTCCAGTGTATGGTGACAGACATGAATACATTCAGCAACGGGCTGGTAAGGAAAGCGACAAAGGGAACATGCGTGGCGAGGCTGTGGGCGTAAGCGACTGCCCTTCCCCTCCAAATCCTGACAGCACCGCTCCAGCGCGGTCTCCTGGTGGGCCTTTGCCCGTCCTCCCCGCTGAAGCCAGCTGCCAGGTGGCTCTGGCTACATCCTGAGCAAAGGGCCCAGCGGCCTCTGCCCAGGTGGAGCATCGTGACGTGGGCGACACCTTCACCCCTGGCTGTGGTTCCCGCTCACCCCCACCCTGGGACCTTGGGACCCGGCGAACTCTGAGGCCCCGTGGGGAGCTGCCCTCACCTTCAGGAAGCTGGCCATGGTGCTGACGTGGTTGGCGCACACTCCCTTCCGCACGTCATTCACACCCTCGCCGGTCTGCAACACAACACACCCGCCATGACCCGCCACTTCCCCGTGTGACCCAGGTCTCCCTCCAAGGCCACTGCCCACCCCAGGGACTTAGCAGTTTCCCTGTGTCCCAGGAAAGAGAAAACTGCAGAGGACACCGTAAGCTCCCACACCTCCAGGCCAGGGAGGTCCTTGGTGTGGATGGTCACCAGCTCCCACTGTGGGGCGGTTACCTTAGAGCTCCCTCGTCCCCACCCACGGGGCTCCATTTCATTAGAGCCCCTAGAGCCTTCCCAGCCCTCATCCACGCCCCTCTGCTCCCTCACGATGACCACCCGAA